TATTATAAAAGATTCTGTTTTCTGTCTTTGCTAGCATTTTAGAGGTTAAAATTCAAACATAATGAAAAATACTTAGTGACAAAAGCATTTTTCTGAGAAATTTTCCCCTTTCTTGTTCTCAGTTTTTAGTGACTAAGTAACAATTTTCACATGTATTTTATAGGCCAAACAAGTTAATTTTCCAGAAAATTCCTCAAGCTCTGGAAGACACTCAATAGATGTTTTTACATAATTTTCTTTCATTAAGTAAATTTAAGAGTAATTAAACACTTAAAAATGTGAATAAAAACATTTCACCACATTGTAGACAAGTTTTTGCTTAGGAATGTGGAACATAAAACGGCTTTACAGTAAATTTAATCATGAGTGAGATATTTTCTTTAATATAGTTCTTAGGATTATAAACTCATTTGCTGACAAGTTGAATTGACTGGTAGATATATTAATTCTACTGTTCAGACCACAAAAGATGAAAATTTATAATGGAATGAATACACACACACACACACACACAAACACACACATTATTGTTATTGTTGTTATGTGCCATCAAGTTGCCTGTGACTCAGAGCGACCCTATGTATCTCTGTCAATCATATTGTCTCTGACACATCTACCCCTCTTACCCCAGTGATTGAATCAATCCATCTCATCAAGGGTCTTCCTCTCCTGCACTGTCCCTTCACCCTCCAAGCATGACATCCCTCTCCAAGGACTAGTCCCTTCTTGCAACATGTCCAAAGCATGTCAGGTGAAGCTTCAGAATCCTTGTCTCCAATGAGCCGCCTGTTCCAACCTTTTCTATATATAATGGAATAATTGAATTAAGATTTCTTAAACTTTATATTTTTCTTGTCCTAGGTGATTTCAAAAGGCGTAATATTTCTTCATGGGCAACAGAAAGTCAAGATTAATAATGATTGTAAGATTTCTAATTTTAACTTGGAAAACAATACAGAAAGAAATTTTAATTAGGTTATATTTTGAATTTTCCTTTAAAAGTAGTGCCTTTGCCATTTTAGGATTGTTTAGTGTCTCAGATTACCCTTAAAAATAGGAAAAGACTTAGTTCCAAACAAAAATGAATAAAAAAGAAATATTTGTAGTGTTAATAATATTCAAAGCACTTTTATAAAGTTCAGTCACTGACTCTTCTTCCTTTCTTTTCTAAGAAAGACAATAAGTATCTATGTTCAACCTAAACACCAAAAATCAAGCAAACAAACAACAAATCCACTGCCACTGACTTGGTTCCAACCCATAGTGACCTCCCATTGGACTTCCTAGGCTGTAAAATTTTACGGAGGAAATTATCCATCTTTCTTCCATGGAGCACAAATGAATTTGAATCATCTGTCTTTTGGTTGATCAGAAACTAATATTGCCACTCTGGCCTTTTTGAGGTTGCCATTTGCTTGGCATCTTTTTTTTCAAGCCTTTGATTTTGAATCTTTTTCTTCTCTTTTTAGATGTGTCTCTTGTAGGGAACATAATGATGGGTTTGGGTTTTTTTTATCCATTCTGCGACTCTTTTTCTCTTAATTGGTGCATTTAGTCCATTCACATTTAGTCTGATTATTGTCAGGCCAGGTTTTACTTTTGACATCTTGCCTTTTTCTGTTGTTTGTGGTTACTATGGTCCATGGGCTTCCCTTTGAAATCTCCATGTGCAGGATTTCACTTAAAATTTCTTGTAATTTTGGTCTCGTTTTCACAAATACGTTAAGCTCCTTCATTTCTGCAAAGGATCTAATCTCTCCTTTATGTTTGATGGAGAACTTTGCTGAGTACAGGATCCTTGGCTGACAATTGCTTTCTTTCAACTTTCTGTATATACCATCCATTGTCTAGCTTGCATGGTTTCTGCTGAGAAATCAGAACTTAATCTAAATTATTCCCCTTTGTAGGCAACTCTTTGTTTTTCTCGTGCAGCTTTTAGAATTCTATCCTTTTCTTTTAATTTGGAGAATTTGACTCGGATATGTCTTGGTGTTTTTCTTTTTGGGTCTAGTTTATTTAGCATTCTCTATGCTTGTTGAATACTGATTTTCCCCATTCTTCAAAATACCTGGGAAGTTTTCTTCAATACTTCTTCCACAATTTTCTCAATGAGTTCCCTGTCACTCCTCTCTTCTGTAATTCCAGTCATATGTTTATTCTGGTTATGTCATCCCACATGGTTCTAATGTTTTCATTTTCTTTACGTCTCATCTCTGATTGTTCTTCTAGTATGTTGTCGGTGAGGCTCTTGTTTCCAACTCATGGACTCTCTCATCCATCTCTTCAGTTATACTTTTTTTGTGCTACCAGCTACACTCTTCTAGGTCATATGACCCTGTTGTGTTCACTTGCTGTACAGAGGTAACTGCTCTGAAGCTGAACACTCTGACACTCATATGTCAAATGTGATAATGGTTACCCATCGTGGACAGTGTTTGGTGGAGCTCCCTGATGAAAACAAGCGTGGAAGCAGGAGTGGCATCCACTTCCATAAATAGTTTGCCTCCAGAAACCTTATAAACCTGGAGGAAGAATGAAAGTCATGCAAGTGTTGAGGGCTTTCATTCATAGAGTCACTATAAGTCATCTACGACTTGATGACACTTAGCAACAACAACAACAACATCTTTTGGTTAGCAGATTGATACATCATGTTATCGTTGTTATGTGCCATCAAGTAACTTGCAACTCATAGTGACCCTATGTACAAGAGCTCTAAATGCCTTTCTATCCTGTGCCAACCTAACCATCTCAAATGCACTCATTCCCACCACTCCAGTCACAGAATCAATCCATCTCATCGAAGGTCTTTCTCTCCTTCGCCATCCCTCCACTCTGCCAAACATGATGTCCTTCTCCAAGGACAAGTGCCCCCTTGCAACATGCCCAAAGTATATCAGATGAAGCCTCAGATTCCATGACTCCAAGGAGCATTCCGGCTTGACATTCTCCAGCACAAACCTGTTTGTTCTCCTAGCAGCCCGTGGTGTATTCAAAACTCTTCTCCAGCACCATAACTCAAAGGCATCAATTCTCTTTCTATCATCCTTATTCACTGTCCAACTCTCTGATGCATAACATGTAATTGCAAAGACTATAGCCCGGATCAGGCTCACCTTAGTCTCCAGCCTGAAGTCGTTGCTCTACTCTTGAGAGGTCCCTCACAGCTGACTTTCCCAATGCAATTCGTCTCTTGGTTTCCTGGCTGCTGTTACTAACAGTGTTGACTGTGGAGCTAAGTAAACTAAAACTGTTAACTCTCTCAATCTCTTCACCATCCAGACTGATGCTGCCGAATGGCCCAGTGGTGACAATCTTTGTTTTCTTGATGTTGAACTTCTATCCATTTAAGAGGATGCAGTCCTTGACCTTCTGTAGCAAGCGCTTCAGGTCCTCCTCAGTTTCTGTAAGCAGTGTTGTGTCATCTGCATAACACAGGTTGTTGATGACTCTTCCACCAATCCTAGTGCCATGTTCCTCCTCACACAACCTAGCATCACAGATGATCTGTTCTGCATACAGACTGAAAAGGTTTGGAGACAAAATACATCCCTAATGGACCCCCGTCTTGATTTTGAACTATATAGTGTCTCCTTGCTCTGTTCTGACGACTGCCTTTTGGTCCAAGTATAGGTTTCGCATTAGCACAATCAAATATTCTGGGATTCCCATTCTTCTCAGAGTCAGCCACTGCTTGCTGTGATCCACACAGTCAAAAGCCTTTGCATAGTGAAGCACAGATAGACATTCTTGTGGTATTCTTTGCTTTCTGTCAAGATCCATCTAACATTAGCTATAATATCTCTGTACCACAAGCTCTTCTAAATCCAGCCTGCACATCTGGCAGTTCTCTGTTGACATATTATTCCAAACGTTTTTGGATAATTTTCACCAGAATCTTGCTTGCATGTGATATCAATGGTAGTGTTCGATAATTTCCACACTTTGTTGGGTCACCTTTCTTAGGAATGGGAACAAATATCGATCTCTTCCAGTCAGTCAGCCAGCTGGTTGTTCTCCAGATTTCTTGGCACAATATAGTGAGCACATCCAGGGCAGTGTCTTTTTGTTGAAATATGTCAGTTGGTATGCCATCAACTTCTGGAGCCTTGTTTTTTTGCCAATTCTTTCAGAGCCATTTGAACTTCGTCCTTCATCACCATAGGCTCTTGATCATACGTTATTCATGAAATTTTTCTGTGTCAGCCAATTCCTTCTGATACAGTGACTCTGTGTATTCTTTCTATCTTCTCTTGATTCTTCCTGGATCATTTAACATTCTACCCAAAGTATCTTTACGTATTGCCACCTGTGGCTTCAATTTGTTTTTCAGCTCCTTCAGCTTAAGAATCACTGAGTGAGTTTGGCCCCTTTGATTTTCTGACTCCAGCTCTCTGCACATTTCATTATAGTATTTTGCCTTGTCATCCCAAGCTGCCTTTTGAAATTTTCTGTTCAGCTCTTTGATTGCTTGGTTTCTTCCTTTGGCTTTTGCTTCTCAGCACTCTAATGCAATACTCAGACTCTCATCTGACATCCATTTTGGTATTTTCTTTTTTTTTCAGCCTTTGTAATTATATTTCGCATTCTTCGTGGATGATTTTCTTGATATCCTCCCAGAACTCATTTGGTCTATAAGCATTGGTGCTCAAGGCCTCAAACCTGTTCCTGAGATGGTTTTGAAATTTTAGTGGGATAGACTTAAGATCAAATTTTGGTTCCCGTGGACTTGATTTAATTTTACTCAACTTCATCTTGAACTTGCATATGAGTAGTTGGTGGTCCGTCCCACAGTCAGCACTTAGCCTGGTTTTCACTGCTGATATTGATCTTCTCCAGCAAGTCTTTCCACAAATGTAATTGATTTGATTTATATGCATACCACCAGGTGAAATCCATGTGTATAGCCTGTGTTTATGTTTGTTATAAATTATATTTGCAATGAATAAATCACTGAATGTGCACAAAAATTAATCACAACAAAACATAGAAATTTAAAATATTAAGGGATGTCCAACTATCCCTTCTTCTACAAGGTATAGTAGTGATTATAAGTTTATTTCAGAAATTTTATATAAATTTAGTTTATTGGGTGAGGGGCTTGCTGGCTCACTGGCAATGAGTATAATAATCAGGACCTTTAATAGCAGGTTCTACCAGTTCACAGGACCAACATTTTTACCAACTAACTTTTCAAATGTGATCTTTTACTTTTGCAGTAACCAAGGGCACATTTTCCATTCCAATAGACATTAGTATTGAGTTAGCTCCCTCTGCAAGTATGCTTGTCTACACCTTACACCCTGAAGGAGAAATGATCGCTGACAGTATTCAATTTGAAATTGAGAAATGCTTCAAACAAAAGGTAAGGTGGAAAAGTCTGTCTCAGATTTGTTCAACTTGTTGGTAAATGATGGAGAAGTTAGAAGCGTGTTGAGTTTAGTTAAATCTCCCACTATTCTGAGAGTGGGAGACTGAAAAATAAAAGGACGTCAGTGTAGCAAAGTTAGTAGATTGAATGATTAAAAAATACTAGTGTTATGACATCCATTTAGATATTATCCTTGCTTTTTAAAGTTACTATCCCATAAAAAGAGTAACACACTGAAAACATTGTCCCACATTGTGTGTTTGTTTAAATAGAACTAAGATAATCTAAAAAAGAATTCTTTTCATATGACTTACCATCCTTTTCCCCTTATGACTATTTTCAATTTCAGGTCAACTTAAGTTTCTCTAATGAAAAGAGTTTACCAGGATCCAACATCAGTCTTCATCTCTCAGCTGCCTCAAACTCTCTTTGTGCCCTTTCGGCAGTAGATGAAAGTTCACTGTTACTAAAGAATTACAATCAGTTATCAGCACAAAGTGTGAGTGATCTAAACAAATTTTATTTGCAAATAACCTATAGTGTTACAGGAGTTATGTTGTTACAATGGGTAAGTAGTGAGCTGCTAGCCAAAACATTAGTTATTTGAACCCATCACCCACTCCCAAGCTGATGTGATAGTTTACTTTTGTAGAGATGTCAGTCTTGGAAACTCCATGAGGGCAGTTCTACCCATCCTAGACGGTTATTAGAAGCTGTAATTGTTCCAAGTTAAAAGGTTTTAGATTTTAGTAATGTTTTATGTCTTTTTCTTAGAGAAAAAGAGAAGATTTTATCGCTAGGAAGAAAGAGATTGGCCAGAGTCCACATGGAATAAAAATATATATTCAACTATATATCAAACTAGATTCTACTTACATATATTATGGTAAAATGAACTATATATTTGAAAACAAATAGCATTTACTGAATGTCTACTATTTGGCAGACTCTTAAATACTGTTGTTGATTACTGTTGATTCTAATAGACCTACCGCAGATCCTTCCATCGGGTTTTCACAGACAATAATTTGCAGGGGGAGGACATTGCCCATCCTCCTCCCACAGAGCATCTGGTGGATTTGAGGTTTATGCTTTTGGGACTGAAACACAGCTTCTTATCCCTAGGCCACTAGAGCTCCCCTAATGAATATAATTTCAAAAATTAAGTAAAAATGTATTCACAAGTGACCCTTCATTGGCTTTCTGAGACTGTAAACCACATGAGAGACAATTGTCAATCCTTCCACTATGCAAATAACTGGTAAATTTGAACCACCTGAAAGGAGCACAACTTTTCTAGGTCTATGCCACCAGAGTCCCCTTCAATAACATTGTTGTTGTTGCTATGTGCCATCGAGTTGCCTGTCACTCATAGTGACCCTGTGTACAACAGCCCTAAACTCTGTCCTATCTTGTGCCAGTCTCACCATCTCCAACACACCTACCCCCATTACTCCAATCACTGAATCAATACATCTCATCGAGGGTCTTCCTCTCCTGTACTATCCCTCCACCCTCCCAAGCATGATGTCCCTCTCCAAGGACTTGTCCATCCTTGCAACATGTCCAAAGTATGTCAGACGAAGCCTCAGAATCCTTGTCTCTAAGGAGAAGCATGGCTTCACCCTCTCCAGGACAAACCTGTTTGTTTTCTTAGCAGTCCATGGTATATTCAACAGTCTTCTCCAACACCACAGCTCAAAAGCATCTATTTTCCTTCTATCATCCCTAGTCATTGTCCAGCTCTCTGATGCATAGCAAGTGATTGCAAAGACCATGGCATGTATCAGGTACACCTTAGTCTGCAGACTGACATCGTTGTACTTCAGTACTTTAGAGAGGTATCTAACTGCAGACTTTCCCATCGCACTATGTCTTTTAATTTCTTGGCTACTGGTACCGAGAGTGTTGGCTGTGGTACCAAGCAAACCAAAACTGTGGATAATCTCAATCTCTTCACCATCCATTATGATGCTGCCAATTGGCTAAGTGGTGAGAATTTTTGTTTTCTTGATAGTGATCCTCAATTCATACCGAAGACTACAGTCCCTGACCTTCCACAGCAAGTGCTTCAGGTCCTCCTCAGTTTTAACAAGCAGGGTGGTGTCATCTGCATAACGCAGATTGTTGAGGATTCTTCCTCCAATCCTGATGCCACATTTCCCCTCATATAGTAGAGCTTCCTGGATAATCTATTTGCTTAAGCTCAAGGAACTGAAGAACAAATTCAAACCTCGAGTTGCTGTATTCAAGGATGCTTTCGGCAGAATGTTAAATGATCCCGGAAGTATTAAAAGAAGATGGAAAGAATATACTGAGTCACTGTATTGAAAGGAATTGGAAGACACAGAAGAATTTCATGAAACAACATATGAGCAAGAGCCT